CATTCAATGCAGTCCACGACATCGCTTACAGTTCTACTGAGTTCAACTACTCGAGGTTCGGTGTCAGTCAATGCGCAAGATTCAGCAATCATTTATGAAGAGCCAACTACGTATGTGTCATTTCTCGATCAATAACCCCTCACCGTGATTCTGACCTTAGAAGTCTCATTTACCTCACTCTATATTCTCAAATCGTTCGGTTGCTTATTTTTTCTCGTCCGTCCTTGTTTTGCATTACTTGCATCTGTTCATACTGCACTCTTTAACCGATTGTACGTGCACTATTCAGAATACTTTTATAGTTTATCCGTCACGAACTAGCAAAGGCATATCTTTCCAATGTGATATATCAGCTAACAACCTCCTTCTCGAAGGCATCTGATCTTATGTTTCGAGACGGTGCCGCAATATAAACATGACCTTCTATTGGTGCGTAACGAATAATCTGGACACCTAGAAGTGATAATGTTTCATTTATAACTAAGTATATATAATATACATATATATATGTATATGTATATATTACATATATGAAGTATATAACTAATTGGCAGCCAAAGACAGCAACCAAAGCGTCCCACGAAAGTGCATATTTAATGGTTGTTTACACTGAAAATTGAAACTAGGTGTACTAACTAATTCACATTTATTATGACTATTCACAATTTATGAGATCAAGTGACTCCTGACGATATACCAAGAAAACGTGCTATCGGTCTGCATCTAAAATATCATTAGCAGAAGGGGAAGCTTGATAGGCGTATGGACAGAAGGGATCTGCTCGGATTATTCTCAATGAAAGAATCTGTATCTTTATGATCTTACATTAATTTAGAATGAAACGCGTCTGAAGAATGAATAACAGTATGTCCTCCAGTCGACTTGCCGTGGTCTGTTAATTATTTTCGTAACTAGTATGCAAAATAACATGTTCAACAGGGAAATATAATATTGGTGATGGTGTAAGATGAAATTTGCAAGTCCAAGTGAAATTCGTTCGACAAGCAACGGTTGAGAAGGCAAAATGATTTCCAAATCATTTACCTGCGAATGAGCAAGAAAACAAAAAATGCAGTTCAAAAAATCCTCAATGAATAGTGAACCATCAGGATTTAATGATACGTTATTGTGTCCTAGTGCCTGGGGTCGTTAAAATCCTTGTGGAAATACCATCATGTTTGGTTTAATGAAGTCTCAGATGTTGGTAAGTGATGCCGTTAAATCGATATAATTTCAGTGTTTCCGACACAACTTGTAAACATTATTCCCTTGAAATTACTGTAGTCAAAAAGCAAAACATTGTTATCCCCCACCAAAAACTGATTGTTTTTGTGTTATTGTTTTTTGCTCTGTTACTGTGTCTGTTTCGATCAATGGTTATATTGAAACTGTATCTGTAATGATTAATGTTTACACACACACACACACACACACACACACACATATATATATATATATATATATATATATATAAGCTCCGTGGATTCGAACACATCCCCGGAGTGATAATTTGGTGACGTTGCCACCGGGCCATCACCGCTCACGTTTATGAATATCAATACGGCTCTATAAGAAATAACTAACTAACATTTAGTACATGTAAATAGGAGATTGGCATGAATCGACAGTAAAAGGGAGTAAGTATTCACATCAAGATTTCCCGAGTCCGTAATGTAACCCACAGAGATTGCACTTAATAGCCTGGTGTGTAATCGATTGTGTTGGAACCTAGTCACCGAAACTGATGGGCGAATGTCACAAGGTCGAGAACATTGATTGGCTGGGTTCACGAATTCGTGACTGGATCAGAGTGGTGAGATGACAGGCACGGTCAGTGCGTGTATGGTCATAAAACTGGTTGCCTTGGCCTAGTGCTTGTCGGTGTCACAACTGGTAAGCATTGCCACGGTGTGTGCGTGTGTTGTGTGTCACATGATTGAGTCAACGAGTGTGAACACATGTGTAGGT